CACAATTATAGTTAGAGATTTCAATACTGCTCTCTTGGTAACTAAGAGACGAGGAAAACAGAAAATCAATAAGAATACAGAGAACTTAACACTATTAATCAGCTTTCCCCAACTGACATCTATAGAACACTACATCTAACAACAGCTGAGTACACATTATTTCAAGTATACATGGAATTTTCACCAAGATGGATCAAAGGCTAGGCCCTAAAATTACATCTCGGTAATTTTTTTAAAACTGAAATTATACACAGTATGTTTTATGACAATAATAGAATTAAACTCAAAGTCAATAACCAAAAAAACTAGTAAAATCCACAAATATCTGGAAATTTTAAAACTCATATATAATCTATAAGTTAAAAAAAATAGTCAATTAGAAAATAATTTGAAAAGGATTTTCAATCCTTTGATTGAAAATCAAAGGAAAGGAATCAAATCAAAGGAAGGTCTTCCTCAGCACAAAAGAGGAGGATTGGCATGGATGTTACCTCAGGGCTGATCTTCCTCAAAAAAAAAATTAAAAAAAAATGATAAACCTCAAACTACACTGACTAAGGAAACAAAGAGAAAATAGAAACTGCCAAAATCAGCAACGAACGAGGTGACACACTTGCAGATGCTACAAACATTAAAAAGACAATAAGGAAATATTATGAACAACTTTATGACAATAAATTCAACAATTCAGATGAAATAAATTCCCTGCAAACCTAAATTAACAAAACTAACTCAAGAATAAATAGAAAATATTTAATATAGATATTAAAGGAATTAAATTTGCACTTAAAAACCATCCCAGAAAGAAACCTCTGGGCCCAAATGATTTCATTGGTAAATTTCAACAAATATTTAAGGAAGAAATCTTACAATCTTGCACCAACTCTTTCAGAAAACAGAAGACAACAGAACATTTTCTAATTCATATATAAGGCCAGCATTAACCTTATATCAAAACCCAATAAACAGATGCAAAAACTCGCAACAAATTGTGAACAAATCAAAACCAGAAAAAAACACATATTATAAAATGTATATATATATATAAATAAAATATTTTATAAATAAATAATAAATAACTGACCATATGGGGTTTATCCTAGGAATGCAAGTTGGTGTAACACTGGAAAATCAACCAATGTAATTCTCCATATTAACAGAATAAAGGAGAAAAATCACATGATCATAGTAATAGATGCAAAAAAAAATCTGATAAAATTCAATGCTCATTCGAGATACCAACTCTCAGAAAAATAAAACAGAATTTCCTCAATCTGAAAAGGCATACATGAAAAACTTCCAGCTAACTTCATGCTTAAAGGTGAAAGACTAAATGCTTTCCACCTAAGATAAAGAACAAGGCAAGGATATTCACTCTTACCACTTCTATTCAAACGCTATATTGGGAGTCGTAGCTAGTGAAATAAGATAAAAACTTAAATCAAGTAAAAGGCATACAGACTGAAAAAAGTACAGTGTCTTTATTCACACATGACATAATGATGTACTAAGAAATCAACAGAAAAAGCTTACTAACACTAGTATTTGTGAATTTAACAAGGTGACAAAATATAAGGTAAATATACAAAAGTCAATTGTAAATTTATATCCTAGCTGCAAACACATAAAAAATGAAATTTATTTTAAAAAAACAATTCCATTTACAATAGCACCCCAAGAATATAAAGTTTAAAAAAATATGTAAGACCTCTACAGTGAAAATTCTATAACATTGTGAAAGAAATTAAAGACTTAGATGGAGAGAGATACCACGTAAATGACTGGTTGGAAGACATGCTATTTTAAGCTATTAATTTTCCCAAAATTGATCTATTGCTGCAAAACATTTCCAATCAAAAAACCAGCAGAAATTTTTGTTAAAAGTGATAGGCTGATTCTAAAATTTATTTTTAAAATGCAAAGAACTTAGAGTAACCAAAACAATTTTCAAAAAGAACAAAACCATAGAATTTACACCACCCGATTCCAAAACTTACCCTAAAGCTGCAGTAATTAAGACTGTGTTTATTGGCCAAGGAGAAACATGTAGCTCAATGGAACAGAATAAAGTCTAGAAATTAACTCACAAATATATGCTCAACTGATTTTCAACAAAGGAGCCTAGGTAATTCAACAGAGAAAGGTCAGCCTTTTCAACAAATGATGCTAGAACAAAATGGAAATCTGTATAGAAAAAAAATAAACTTTGACACTTACCACACACCATAAACAAAAATTAACTCAAAATGGATCTCTGATAAACAAAAAAGCCATAGCTATGAAATTTCTAGAAAAAAACATATGAGAAAATCTTCACAACCTGAGATGTGCAAAGATTAAGATACCAAAAGCCTAACTAAAAATAAATAATGAAAAAAGAAAATAATTGATAAATTGGATTTCACAAAAGAAAACACAGACCGGCCAATAAAAACTTAAAATGATGCTCTACATCATTGGTCTTCAGGGAACTATCACTTGAGATATTACTACACACAGTAGGATGACTAAAAATTACAAAGACTGACACTAGCAAGTGCTAGCAAGGATGTGGAATAATTGGAACTCTCATACACTGCTGGTAGGAGGGTAAAATGGTCCAACCACTTTGGAAAACAATGGCATATTCCCAAGAGAAACAAAAACTTGTCCACAAAAAGACACACACAAATGTTCACAGTAGCTTTACTCATAATAGCCCCAAACTAAAAACAACCCAAACGACTTTCAACAAATAAACAGATAAGTAAATTGTGGTATATTCATACAGCGGAATACAGCAATAAAAAGTAAGGAACTACTGATACATGCAACAAGGTGAATGGGTTGCAAAAAAGCCAGGGAGGCAAAGAAGCCAGTCACAAAAAAGATCACATTATATGAATCAATTTACATGAAATTCTAGAACAGGGAAAAACTAATCCACAGTATGCTGAAGAAGATCCATGGCTACCCAATCCCAGGGCCGGCGAGGAAGGAGGGAAAGGAAGGACTGACTGCAAAGGGCCATGAGGAAATTTATGGGGAGTGCAAATGTTCTATATCTTAACTGACAGGGTTAAGCAGGTGTACAGTATTCATCAAATAGTATACTTAAAATAGGAGCATTTTTATATGCAAATTATACCTCAGTAAAGTTGATTTTAAAAGTTAAAAGAAAAAAAGCGACCTTGACTTTGTCAAGGTCTGCTTTCCAACTTCATATGGATCCTCAATGCTGCTCAGCAACTCATTTGCTTCTCTTTTATTACCTAAGCAAAGTTGTTTCAAATCTATACTATTTCCTCAATCCTTTATCCTACTTATACTCCCAAATTATCTTCTAGTTGATTTTACCTTCTACTTCACAAAGGAAACAGAACAAACACAAACACCATCATTAATCCGCTCCCCTTCTCCTCATATCTCTTCTTTTATCTGCATTTGTACACATCTTCACAACTCCCTCCTAGCTCAGAAGGTGCTCCTACTCCTGATCAAAGCTTACTCCTTCCCCTAAGACCTTGCTAACCCAAACTTATCATTCCTCTCAATACTATTTACCCCTCTTTCTCTAAAAACATTTTCTCAAAAAGACCTCCCAACCACCTTGTCTCCTCTAGCTATCCTTCTGTCTTTCCTTCCCTTCACTGTCAGTATGAGCTTTCTCTTTCCTTCTTCAATTCACTTCAATGTGATGTGGGAACTAAGCATTCGTTCAAACTACTTTAAGGTATATGTGATACACCTTAATAGGTATGTATATGTATACATAATGTACGCTGCAACAAAAAGATTTATATTTCCAAGAAAGAACAAAGAAAAAGAACAGGACAATGTGTCTCTGATAAGGGGAAGCAAGTGCCCTTAATCAAATGACATAAATGTGCAGGCAGCCTTGCAGATCTATACCCATGGGATTTTTAATCTGTGATCCCTGCATAAACTCTAGGGAATGTTATAAACCCCACTGAAATAAATAACTTTGTATGGTAAATTCCTTTTTGGAGAAAGGATCACCTACTTTTGTCAGATTCTCACCACAATTGTGGAAAGAGTTCCTCTATCTTCACTTTAAGATTTTCTAACTCCCTTTGTCTTGAGTTATATTCAAAAAAATTTTTTTCTAAATAATATAAACATTCCTACCATTACAAAATATGCTGGCTACTCGAGAAAACTATCCAGTTGCATACCTCACTATAAATTAATATACTGTATTCTCATATAAGATAAGTTTTCAAGAGCCAATTATCGTCTCAGGGTATAATGTTAAAAATTCAGTTTCTGAAACTATAAGAGGGCTAGATTTTGGAATACAGGGATTCAACTGAGAGTATAACCCTCTAAAGATCATACCTAGGAGACCAATTATCCCTAAACATTTCTAGCTCATCAGTCTCTAAGAACAATATACCTCTTTCTTCCTGAAAACAAGCACCAAGGGTTTGCCCTGCTTTCCTTTCCTCTGTGAGTCCTCTCATCCCAGAACTGGCTAGAGACACAGCAGACCCAGCATTCTCTTCCTTTTGGCCCCAAAGATAAATATATAAACACATCCTATTTGAAAGACTCAAAATTTTTTTTCTATGTAAAAACAAACAGAAGTAACAGATTCTCAAATGTCTTGGAACTCTTTTCCCTTATTTTTACAGTACTACTCTTTCCTGCTTCTCCTAATTTTCCAGCTACTTCTACTCAATGTCCTTTACTTCCTGTCTAGCTCCTTGGTGTTGAGTGTTCTTCTTTCCTTTCAGTTTCCCTAGGTAATTCATCCATTCTACTGGCTTCAACGAGCAGTGATTCCCAAATCATACCTCCATCCTCTCACCTTTCTCTGTAACCTAAGATCCTTATTTCCAATATTTCTTGAACATCTCCAAGTAGATGTCTCCCAGGTATTTTCATATCCTAACTGGTAATATTTTTTAAGTTCTCATATATTTTAAGTTCCCATACATTGTTCCTTTAAATACAGTTTTCTCAAGTAGCTGCTTTGGTCAGTTTTAGTACATACTTACTGATGAACTATCAGTTGACTCATTGTTTTTTTCATACTTTTGCTTCTTGCTCTTTTTTTTCTTCTCTTTCTTTACTTTTTTTGAATGCTTATCTTTTTTCTTCTTTTTCTTCACAGAGTGTTCCTATAATCATTTTGAAGAGTAAGAAAGGAATTTAGTTTTAGCTTACTTTAAAAGGAAATATTTTAAGGGAAAAAAAGATCTATGTTCCAAAAAACTTTATATCTTGCATGAAATGAGACAAGGAATATAACTAAATAAAATCTTCTAAGAAACTTTAACATGCTTCTGTAACATATGCACTACTAATAAGTCATATAGCTGAGATTTCTTATCAAAAAAAATGAGAGAAGCTTTAGTTTTATTTGTAGATACATCTGACAGACAGATATAATCAAATAAATACATATACACACAAACATAAACATACATACATACATATCTTTCTAGGGCTCCAAAAGTATTTACAGATTACTAACCATATAAAATATAACAAGATACCATAAATTACAGGAAGAGAAAACAAGGATTGAGACAAAAAAAAAGACATTAAGTTTAAAATGCATAATTTTTTAGACACATAAGCTTGCTACAAGTGGGCCAGAAATTTGAAGCTAAGCTTTCTACCTGCCAATTCAAGTAACAAAATCTTTCCAACGTGATAATGCCCACAATATTAAAATTATTTATGCCAGAAAGATCAAACTATTCAATAATGCCCATATGGGATATTCATTCTGAAACTTGTGAAAATAGTCGATAAAGTTGCTCCTCCAATACTAACTTGAATAAGTACAAAAAAAGACAAACACGCTTACATCAGGTAAACATGTTAGTATTCACCTGTGAGAACTGTTCAATTCGCTCATTCACATCAGGTAGCATCCATGTATCCTCACCCCGAAGTCGCTTAAGTTCTTTACGCCTTTCTTCTTTTTCAAAATTGGCTTTAGCCTAAAACAATGAAAAAAGAAAAATTAACAATTGATCCAATCTCTTTTCACAAAAAGTAAAACAAAAACTTCCACTTTCATATAAGGCTCATGAATGAATTGTCTGTCCCTCGCCAGGAATGTGCTTCTACCAAAGTATAAAGGTTTAAAAAACAAAAATCTCTCGTTCCACATGACCAATGATATTATCAATCTCTAGTGAATTCAGCCACCAATCAAGGACAGAATCTGGGACCTATTCCAGACCCTCTTCTCTCTCTAAGCCCCCTACCTTAAATACAACTTGAATCTCTTTTATCTTCACCATCCCACTGCTACTGCCTGAGACTTTTGTAAATGTTAGGAGACTGACCTGCACATTTTTAATCCTCAATGCCCATACCCCTCTACTCACACTCCCAAAATGCTTCAGAAGGAATCATCTTTCTCAAAACAAATGATTATATTCCTAACTTTTATTCAACCTTCAACAACTGTCAAATAAAGTAAGTTCTTCCTAGGAGGTTGTTCCTGCCCTTTCATTCTCTCCCCAAACTCCAAAGCTGGGTTTGGTCCTTCTCAAACTCTATGCATAGCTCTACTACAAAATTTATCACAGCTTACAAACCCCACTCCAAAAAAACACCTGAAATATCAAAGAGACAAGGATGAAGAATATTTATTATATATTAAATATGGTACAATCAGGGATCAACACCAACCTTTCACCTATCCAAGACCGACAGCCCACTCTTCCCCTTTAAAATCTGGCTGTAGTCATTATGCCTTCTCCTTCCTGTTTCCTCTACCAGCTCCTTTTCATTTGCATTTAAACTCGTTTTAAACTCTTCCATCTTAAGTAAAAATAAAAACCCTCACTTGTTATACCATATGTTTCTCTCCAACTACAACTTTTCTCCTTCGTTGCCATACTTCTTACATCTTGTCAAATAATTCAGTACAGTTTACTTCCTCCTTTCTTTATAAGTTACCTATACGTATCTCAATCTCAATGAGAAATACGATGTTTCCCAAACTTTTTCAGGGGACTAAATTTTCTGGTTCTCTTGTATCAATCCTTGGTTTGACCAGTAAGGGTTTACAATAAGCCTGAAATTGATACCAATAGTAAACAGAACAATAAAACGGTCAAACACAGTCTACTCCCATGCTCCTTACATGAGTTCCTGAACACGGAAAATTTCATTTCAAATACTGCAAAAACGAGGACTGAGGCTATGAAATATGCTAGGAGAGTCGGTATTAGCGGCGGCGTCCCTGGAAAGTGCGCAGCCCAAATGATAAGGTGCTAGAAATGTCAAGAATGGATGATTTAAAAGGCAAAGAAACTCAGAAGAAAGAAACAAGCCTTCCTGAAAAAGAGTGTAAGCAACCGGAGCCTGCCAGAGCACCTAGGAGGTGGGAGGTACCCAAGAGCTTACGGGCATCCCAAAGGGAGACCCCACCCACGCACCCAAATAAAGGTGAGATACTGAGGGGGTGAGAGAAGAGAGGGGGCGGGAAAGGAGGAGAGGCAGAGGCCTAGCTCCCAGGAACCCCCCTCTCACAATTCTAAATGGTTCCAAAAGCCCCAAAACGGAGGTACCTGGCGCAACAGCTCGGCCCTAGCAATCCGGGTGTGTTCCTTACGCTCTTCGATGCCCTTCGCACTTTCAAATCTACCGGAGGCAGCCGCCATAGTTGCTGTCGTCGTAAAGCGAGGAAGCCGTCACGAAATCTGTTTACGACTGTCGTAATTTAATAAACAAACGGAGACTTCCGATTGTGGGTGGAGGGGCGCTGCTCCATTAACAGAGCATGCGCGGATCTGAGTGTCGCTTAATGTTCTGGTGATCCCTTCAGCTCCAGGTTTTAAAGGATAATTGAAAACCAAACTCGGGAGTTGCCCAGCTTCGTATATTGAGATCGCACCGAGCAAGATTAATGTCACAGTACATTTATTACGCACTTTGGGCAATACTAACGGCATTCTCACCTATTTCCTCTTAAAATCACCAGAGTAAATTAGAAGCTCATAAAGGTTAAATCCGTACCGCTCAAAGATTTCTACCGAAGTGCCCTTCTTGCCAAAGTTTCCCTGTGCTGGGGAAATGGGCTGAAGGGAGGCTGGCCAGAAAGGCAGTGCAAGCTAGCAGGAGGGCAAAATTGCTTCGAAGAGTCGGTGTTTTGCTTTGGTGAACTTCTTCTTAAGTATATGAGAAGGTCTGGTGAATTTTGCATTATACTTCATAATTTATCCGTGCTTATTTAAACTGTTGTTTCACATTATTTTTTCTCCGACCTCATATTATATGTTCGTACTTATCCATCCAAGCATTATTCATTACAGTGTGCAATTACCGATTTATTTGTGTGATTTTTTTTTTTTGTTTTATGATACAAACGTAAAATATATCTCCCAAACATAAAACTTTAAGTTGCATGTTGAGTAAGACATTCTGAAGCACTGATCAAGTGCTTTGCGAGTATAAAACACTGAGCTTACATTTATAATCATAAAGATAAAGAACACTGGACAATAATTATAAACTAGATACTTTAATGACATTAAAAAGAGTTAACATAAACTAGACAGGTAAATACGCTTTCTCTTCAGGTTTCATAAAACTGAATTTGTGTTTGCAAGAAGCTCTCCCAGGAGTTTCTACTTTACCTAATCTATGAAAATCTTAACCCTGAGCATGCAGTGTTTACACGTTTGATATACAAAATAGAATGTACTCTTATTTTTGTTACAGAAAAGTGAATTTTAATTTACGAATTGGCCTTGAAATATTTAACCCACTAACTGTGCGTTGACTGATTATGTCATAATTAACTCTAATGGCATTAAAGTCTTTCAGATTCTCTTGGGATTCAGAAAAACATCATCCCCCCCCCCCGCCACGTCAATTATGGGGCAAATAAAAAGAAATAGTGATTATAGCAGAAACATGCAAAATTATATGACAAAAACTTTCAACCCTACTTACAGCACAAAAGACTAGAACAAATGGAGAGGTATAGCATGTGCTTGAAGAAGGCTCAACATCATAAAGAAATCTATTGTCCATAAATTAATTTGCAAATATAATGCAATACCAGTAAAATTGCCAACAAAAAAATGTTGGGATCAGAGAGGGGAGCTAGATGGGGTGATATAGAAAAATAAGGGAAAAGCAACTTGTTTTGACTAGTTTGCATTTGACCACACCTAATAGAAATCCAGAGTTTAATCAAACAAGGGGTGATGTAATAAGGAGCCTGAAGGTAGCTGGTCCAGGCTTGGTGCAGTTGCTGAAGGAAACAGGTTGTTTCTCCTTTTCTGCGTTGTAACACTTAGACTGTAACTCAAGTCTTCATAGTCGCAAGAGTGCGTTTCGTTCTTCCATATCTGCATATGTCATCGATTAAGACATAGGAATTGTCATAGAGCAAAAAGTGTATGCCAGCTAAGCCTACTCCCTTTTTTTTTTTTTTTGTGAGGAAGATCAGCCCTGAGCTAACATCCATGCCAATCCTCCTCTTTTTGCTGAGGAAGACTGGCCCTGAGCTAACATCTACTGCCAATCCTCCTCCTTTTTTCCCTTTTTCTCCCCAAAGCCCCAGTAGATAGTTGTATGTCATAGTTGCACATCCTTCTAGTTGCTGTATGTGGGACGCCGCCTCAGCATGGAAGGACAAGCGGTGCGTTGGTGCACGCCTGGGATCCGAACCCGGGCCGCCAGTAGCGGAGCTGCACACTTAACTGCTAAGCCACGGGGCCAGCCCCAAGCCTACCCCATTTTTAAGTAGAACAATGATGACTTTGGTAAAGCCTACTCCACTTTCTCCCATTTAAATCTTATGAACCAGAAGTAGATCACATGGCCACAACTAACTACAGAAGAGTCATGAAGATTCAAGGACAGTTAGGATATAGAATGACACTCAGCTTGGGTTTGTCTGAGGTTTCTTTGTGGTTAGATTCAGGTTAGCCATCTTGGGCAGAACTGTCACAGAAATGTGACTGTGTTCTCATTGCATCCTATCAGGTAACACACAATTTCCATTTGTTCATTACTAGTGATATTTACTCTGATCATTTAATTAAAGTGGTATCTGCCAAACTTCTCCACTGTAAAATTACTCCTTTTCCCTTTGTAATTAGCAAGTATTTTGTGAGGCAGTTTTTTGAAACTATGCAAATTTCTCATCAGACTTTCAAATTATTTATTTTTATATCCATATGGACTCGATTTCTATTTTTATTCAGTAGATTCATATTTTTATTCAGTGAGATAATAATACATTGTTATCAGTATTTATTTGATGCACAAATTGTCCCAGTTTTAGCCAGGGAGAGCCCCTTCAAGCTGGTTTCTGTGTCCTTTTCACATGCCTCCATATTCTTTGAGTGTTTCTTTACTTGCTAGTACAAGAAGATAACCTAGTTTCATTTTGTATTTTCTCTGCCTAAGCCTTGGAATCAGCCCATTTTCCAAGAATCCCTGGTTTATTTTTGTTTAAGGTGGTATTTAGAAACTGTCAAATAAAAAACAAATCTAGGGCCAGCCCCAGTGGCCCAGTGGTTAAGTTCGGTGTGCTCCACTTTGGCAGCCCAGGTTTGGTTCCTGGGTGCAGACCTCCACCACTGTCTGTCAGTCGCGATGCTGTGGTGGCAGTTCACATACAAAAAGAGGAAGATTGGCAACAGATGTTAGCTCAGGGGGAGTCTTCCTCGGCTTAAACAAACAAACAAAAAAATCCAGACTTTGGTAAGGAAAGAGCATAGGAGCACAGGGCTCAGGTTAAGTTCAAAATTGTCAAAGCCAAGATCTGGACACTAGGTATGCTCATTAACATTGGGGTGTTGTTGCTCCCAGGTCCTTTCGATGGACAGAGCTAGGAGGAAAGATACATAGATACAGACAAAGATCTAGATATAGACACACATAAATGACTGTACTTCTATATATGTCTATATATATTGAAACCATGAGTTCATACAGATACCTCCAATTCCAATTCAACACCACAGAGTTCATTCTAGTTTTCTTCATTTCCACATTTGTAACTCCATTCTCCAACATGGATAAACCTAATTCCCATTATCTTTAATATATTAACTTATTTGATCAATTATCCAGTATGTAACCAGTATCTGTTGCCATAACTACCCCCCTCTCTTGCACGGATGCCCTTTTCACCGCTCTGAAACCCTGACATCCTGTGCCAGGTTACCCCACTCAGGCTCCAACACCCTGAACCAGGCCATCCTCCCACACAGATACACTCCTCACCCTGCTCGGGTCCTGATTCCCATGTTCCAGAGGCCCCTCAATCCACATGAGCACCCTTCTCAACCCATTTGTGCTCTGAGCTACTTCCCCTCCACTCACCGACACAGATGCCTACCTCATTCAGCCCACCAAATGACTTTGGGACTGAATTGTTCTGGAAGAAAATGAAAAGGAAAGGAACTGAAAGAGAAAGATGACTTAAGCCTCTTTTAAACCATAACAATTCTCACTCACCCCTCTTTTATTTTCAGGCCATTTATTTATTGAAGAGATTGGGTTCCTTTTCTATTAGAATATCCCACATTTGGGGTTTAGCTTATTGTATCTTTTTTTTTTTTTTTTTTTTGTGAGGGAGATCAGCCCTGTGCTAACATCTGCCAATCCTCCTCTTTTCTTGCTGAGGAAGACTGGCCCTGGGCTAACATCCGTGCCCATCTTCCTCCAATTTATATGGGACACTGCCACAGCGTGGCTTGCCAAGCGGTGCGCCAGCACGCGCCGGGGATCTGAACCAGCGAACCCCGGGCCACAGCAGCGGAGCGCGTGCACTTAACCGCTTGCGCCACCGGGCCAGCCCCTGTATCTTCTTTTTTTAAAATTTTATTTTAACTTGTTTCTTTATCCCCTGTTTCTTATAATCTGGTAGTTAGAGATTTGATTAGATTCAGATTCAATATTTTTTACAAAAATACCTCTGTCTCGTTCCTACTGTATCATGTCTTGAAGCACATCATAGTTCTACTTTTCATAAAGTTAAGATTGATAAGTGGATTCAAGTGTTGTCAGCCTGAATTCATCCATTATCAGGGTCCCCATTAATTTAATAGTTTTAGTATCTGTTGATGATTATTGTGAAGACCTATTATTTTACTAGTGCTTATAAGATGGTGATTTTCAAATTCTACTATTCCTCTGCATTCATTAGATGAAGTCCTTCTATAAAGAACTTTCCCTCATCAACTATTTGATACCCTGAAATACAAGCCATACAGGAAAGAAAGATAAATGGTTAAATATTTCTCTTTATCAGTCTTCAAAACAATTAATTGATTCCCTAGCAGTCTCCAATAGGGATCAGTGTTATGTAGGGGACGGGGAGGGGTTCTGTCATTATGAGGTCATGTTGTTTTTTATATAGAACTGTTTCAATCTATTGAAGTCATTGTTCCTTTTGATTCTCAAAAATGGCCATCTTTGGCTAGTGGGAACTCCTTCAAGTTGGCTCCTGTATGCTTTTGACATGACTCCAACAGCCTTGTAGCTTCTTTGCTTTCTGGCACCAAATGAGCCTGACCCTTTACATTTCCTACCCCAGATTTGGAAGCAGTCATTTTCCAAGGAGCCCCAGTAACTTTTAGTGGAAAACGATACTGAGATACCATAATTCGGCACTAATGGTGTTCATTGCTGCAAGGTGGTCATTATTCCTAAGGCCTTTACAATGGACAGAGCTAAGAAA